TAAGACATACCCTGGGGGGTTCGAACTAGCCGGCATTTAAAAATGGTGCCGGCCGGCTTCATGCTAATGAAGCCCGGGAAATTCAAATCCCGGGCTTCATTAGCAAGTGCGGTATGCATACATTACCCTCCTAGTTCGAACTAGGAGGGTAGTGTAGACATACCCTGGGTGTTGGCAGGCTTGCACCTGGCTTGGGCACCGTAGCCAGCCCGTGTCCCTTTAAGGGCTCCGGGGCCGGGAGGGGGGCAGAAGAGTTTCCCTGGTGTTGGCCAGAGTGGCCACCAGGGAAAGCTGGGGAGGGCTAGCCTCCCACTAGTTCGAATTAAGTGGCTACACAGCCCTTAATTCAAACTAGTTAGTTTGAACTAGGCGTTAATCCTCGTGGAATGAGGTTTACCTAGTTCGAACTAAGCGCTCCGCTAGTTCGAATTAAATTCGAACTAACGGCTCGCTAGTGTAGCGCCTATCAAAGTTAATTTGAACTAACATCTGTTAGTTCGAATTAACTTTGTAGTGTACACATACCCCTAGAGTTCTATGAGGGAGTCAACAAAGGGGATCTACTGGATATAGTATACTTAGATTGTAAGAATGCTTTTGACAAGGTGTGACGGCGCGTTGGGGTTTCCTCTCTCCTGCATCCCCGTAATGGCACGGACAGACTCCATCAGCCACTAGAATAGAGAGATTTTATTTCTTCTCCAGGATTCAGCACAGTACAAATGTAATCTGGTTATAGGGCAGGCCTAGGATGCCTCAGCCCCTAGGCTGCTTCCTCCATGAAACCAGCCAGAAACCTAACTAACTCACTTCCAGCCCTGCCTCCAGCCAGGGCTCCACTCCCCTTCTTCCCATTATTCCGCTCCCTGGGAGATAACTGGTCAGACAGGTTCGAAGCCCCTTTGCATAATGACTCATCCCCTGACCTGCTGGGCCGTGCTGCAGACAGCAGCCATTGGAGATCACTCACAACCCACTGCCCAGCATAGTAACCAGCAAGGTACCCCGTACTACGTCACACAAAGTCCCTCAACTTAAGTAAAGTAAGTTGTCATGGGATAAGAGGGAAGGTCCTGTCATGGACTGAGAACTAGTTAAAAGACAGAAAACAAAGGCCGGGAATAAATGGTCAGATTTCAGAATAGAGAGTGGTAACTAGGAGTCTGCACTGGGACGGATCCTATTCAACCTATTTCTAAATGACCTGGAGAAAGGGGTAAACAGGTGGTAAAATTTGCAGATGATACCAAACTGCTCAAGATAGTTAAGACCAAAGCAGACTGTGAAGAGCTTCAAAAAGAGCTCACCAAACTAAATGATTGGGCAACAAAATGGCAAATGAAATTTGACCTTGCTTTAAATTAGGATAAGAGAAAGTTTCATACCAAATTTAGTGGTTCTTGCACTTACTGTTTAGGAGGAGTTCTTGACATTTCTAAAATATATAGATAGTATATATATATATGTGTGTGTGTGTGTGCTATCAGGAGGCACTATAAATTTGTGTGTGTGTGTGTATATATTTATATACTGTGTTTAAAGTTTTTAAGTGCTGGAAAAAACACAAGGACAGTTCAGTGTCACACAATGCCAGTGGCAGACTGACTTGGTCCCGCCTGGTTTCACTCGGTTCAGCTGCTGCCGTTGCTGCCTTGTGACTCGTTTTTTGCTGAAGCTCACTCACTAGGCTCTTGCCATTTTGATGCCTGACTATAGGGAGTGCCATACAATTGGATGCTGGATTATTGGAGTTTTACTGTCTATACTAGCCAATTAGACCGTCATAAGATATCACTTCTACGCCAATCAGCAGGGCCACTGCGGGGGACCAAATGGCCATTTGGGCCCCGCACTCCCCATGCAGCATGGGCCACCCAGAGGGAACAGCCAGCATTTCAGCAACAGCACCTCCCAGAGGGAAGAGCCAGCATTTCAGGCAATAGCACCCTCCAGAGGGAACAGCCAGCATTTCGGCGTTACAGACTCTCAGACATTGGGCTACTATATATATGATAAAAAATGATGGGGACTAATTTAGCTATAACCATTCAAGAGCAAGATCTTGGAGCCATTGTGCCTAGTTCTCTGAAAACATCCACTCAGTGTGCAGCAGCAGTCAAATAAGCAAACAGAATGTTAGGAATAATTTAAAAAGGGATAGAGAGTAAGACAGAGAATATCTTATTGCCTCTATATAAACCATGGTACAGCCACATCTTGAATAGGGCATACAGATGTGATCGCCTCACCTCAGAAAAGCTGTATTGGCATTGGAAATGTTCAGAAAAGGGCAACAAAAATGATTAGGGCTTTGGAATGGGTGCCATATGAAGATAGAATAAAAAGACTGGGACTTTTCAGCTTAGGAAAGAGGAGACTAAGGGAGGATATGATAGAGGTATACAGTCATGACTGGTGTGGAAAAAGTGAATGAGGAAAAGTTATAACATAAGAACTAGGGGTCACCAAAAGAAATTAATGGGCAGCAGATTTAAAACAAAAGAAAAGGAAGTTTTTCTTCACTCAGAGCACAGTCAACCAATGGAACTCTTTGCCAGAGGACGTTGTGGAGGCCAAAGGAGTTTTAGAGGGCTGAAAAAAGAACAGGATAAATCCATGGAGGTTAGGTCCATCAATGGCTATTAGCCAGGATGGGTAGGAATGATGTAACTAGCCTCTGTTTTCTGCCCTGGTCAGGTTTTCAATGTTGTTTTTCTCCTCTAGTCTCTCTCCAATTTCTCCACCTCTTTGCTAAAGTGTCACACCCAGAACTGGCCCCTGTTCTGCACCTGAGGCCTCATCGGCGCTGAGCAGAGCAGAGCAGAGACCTCCCATGTCTTATACACACTCATGTTTCTGAATAAGATCCGGTTTGTGACCCACCCCAGGCCCAAGGCCCTTCCAGCAGCCCTGCCCCCCACCCAGTGGCTGCCCATGGCCAGTTGTGCTGGGGCCGTGTGTGGGCCTGGACTGGGCCACAGCCTGCTCTGATCCCTTGTGTGTTTGTTGCCTAGGCGATGACTCCAGCAGCAGCACTGACAAGAGTTCATCCCGTCAGATGATTCTTTGGGAAGCGTTTCTGTGCTCTGGGGTCTCTATTTAGGGAAAGGTGGGTCCTGGGCTGGGCAAGCCCCCAGTCTGAGTGCGATCGCCATGATGATGCCTTTTGTGTATTTATTGCCTAGGTGATGGCTCCAGCAGCAGCGGTGGTGGTGACGGTTCCTCGCCAGCAGGTAAATGCTTCTGAAGAGTTTCTGTGTCCTGGGCTGGGCAGCCCCAGTCTGAGTGTGATCCCCCTGAGGACCAGAGGACGTTGTGGAGGCCAAAGGAGTTTTAGAGGGCTGAAAAAAGAACAGGATAAATCCATGGAGGTTAGGTCCATCAATGGCTATTAGCCAGGATGGGTAGGAATGATGTAACTAGCCTCTGTTTTCTGCCCTGGTCAGGTTTTCAATGTTGTTTTTCTCCTCTAGTCTCTCTCCAATTTCTCCACCTCTTTGCTAAAGTGTCACACCCAGAACTGGCCCCTGTTCTGCACCTGAGGCCTCATCGGCGCTGAGCAGAGCAGAGCAGAGACCTCCCATGTCTTATACACACTCATGTTTCTGAATAAGATCCGGTTTGTGACCCACCCCAGGCCCAAGGCCCTTCCAGCAGCCCTGCCCCCCACCCAGTGGCTGCCCATGGCCAGTTGTGCTGGGGTGGACTGGGCCACGGCCTGCTCTGATCCCTTGTGTGTTTGTTGCCTAGGCGATGACTCCAGCAGCAGCACTGACAAGAGTTCATCCCGCCAGATGATGCTTTGGAAGCGTTTCTGTGCTCTGGGGCCTCTATTAAGGGAAACATGGGTCCTGGGCTGGGCAAGCCCCCAGTCTGAGTGCGATCGCCATGATGATGCCTTTTGTGTATTTATTGCCTAGGTGATGGCTCCAGCAGCAGCGGTGGTGGTGACGGTTCCTCGCCAGCAGGTAAATGCTTCTGAAGAGTTTCTGTGTCCTGGGCTGGGCAGCCCCAGTCTGAGTGTGATCCCCCTGAGGATGGATCTGTCAGAGGGGGAATCCCAAACCCTTCTGCTGGGCAAGTTTCCTCTGGAGTTCCCTGCCCCCTCTGCTAACCCGGCAGCCAGTGAGTTATTGCCTCCTGCTGCACTCACTGGGTGGGGGGTTGCTCTGGCAGGAGGCACCAGACGCATCATCCCACCTGGGCTCCCAGGTTCTGTCTCTGTGTCATTAGCTAGTTACGCTCTGTGCTCCAGGCCTGGCCCAGAGTGTCACCCCCGGCATGTGGGCAAACCCCTCTGCCAGGAACCTCAGCCCACTAAAAACCTGATTCCATAGATCAACTGAGTTCCAGGAATTGACCTTCCCAGAGCCCAAACCTGATTGTTTGCCCTGCAAATCCAAAGCATCTGAATCAGTAACCCAACCCCTCCCCAGCAATTCTACAAGGGCTGTGAGCAGCACCTGCCAGGCAAGGGAAATAGATTCTGTGTAACTGTGCCACTTAGTAACCCTGGCAAGAATCACACTGATATTATCTAAAAAAAAAAAAAAAAAAAAAAACAACAAGTGGTCCTGTAGCACCTTAGGGACTAACTAAATATATAGATAGTATCATGAGTTTTCATGAGCACAACCCACTTTTTTTATTGTGCCCATGAAAGACAACTTGTTTTTTATTGTGTCTTGAAGACCACTTTTTTTTTTACGTTTTTTAAGTGTAAGTTACAGACTAACACGTCAACCCCTCTGAGACTAATGTTATCTGAGCCTCAAGAGCTCATAGTGACTCAGGATTTCTGTCCTGTGAGATATTCTGACCTTTCTCATTTTATTTCCATCCTAAATCTGGATGGAGAGTCAAAATTTCAGATTTTGCATGGAACAAAATATCAGTCACATTTCAGTTCTGAAAGATTGAAGGGTCTTGTCGAAAGGGGTTGATTTTGAAGCAATGGAAGACTCTTCCGCTGGATGTTTTCCTACAAGTTCCACAGACATGTCTGCAGCTGCTGAGATCTCTGCTCCCTGGTTCAAGAAAGCTCTCACGCCTGTGCTCCTGTCCAACCCTATCCAGGACAGCACAAATGTACGTGCTTCATTTTGAATGCCTGCTGCATCGCTTGCTGGCATGAAAGTGACTGTGTAAAGTTAGGATTTTTCCTGGCCATTGTGCTGAATCATGATGCTTCCCCGAGGAAGGGCAGATCCCACAGGGATGTTTCCCTGAGCTCACCTTTAGAGCTGGGGAAAATCCAGATTTATTGCCACAAAAAATAGTGATAAAAACTATTTCATTCAAAACTTGTGATGGGAAATTTCAGTGTTTTGAAGAAAAAAATCATGAAACTCAACCAAAAAATGTCCTTTGGCCTCTTTTGGACTTGATATGAGGGGGGGGGGGGAAGGAACCAAAATAAGACAAAAGTGTCAGATGCAGAGGATTCCTCTTTATTTATGTCCAAACTCAAAGGATATTTTCCTTCCATTTCTGTATTTTGAAAACCAAAATGAAAAAAAAGTGTCAATCCAAAGCAAAAACCTAAAGGCGCCTTTCATGTCAACTTTATTTTTGTGAGGAAACTAAGAAGGTCCTTGCATGTGAATTGTTTGGGGGGCCAATTTTGATTTCAGTTGAACTTTGTTTGGATTTAAAATAAAAACATGGCAAAAAAAACCCTCAAAAGAACAAACAGTGGGATAGAACAGCCAATAACGACACCCTGCAGCTAGACAGAAGTGAGTTTCGGGGTTTGTTCATGAGCACACCAGAGTCCTTTACCACAGGGCTAAGCCAGCTCCAGCCAGGAGGCACTTGTTGGCGGCTGTTTGGAGAGGCCATTCACAACAAAATTCTTTTCTATGGCCAGGTCTAAGTATCCCGTTGGGAATCACAATCCCTGTGCTCCTGGTGTTGGCTGTGGTGCTTTATGTGCTGGGAAGGAAAGGTGGGTATGAGAGTGAGGCCCAGCCGTGTTAGCAAATGTGCAGAGAGATGTGGCAGAGACACCCCTGAGATCCCCTGTTCCCCATGTGCCTGGGATGGGGAGAGAGAGATGCCTGAAGACACAATGAAATTGTGTTTGGAGGAGGCTGGCTGGGGAAAAATATCAAGGAGACGATGAAAGGATTATTTTAAGAATTAGCACCTTATAAATATCAGCTAAGGAGTCCCACTGATGAGATTTCCAACAAGTCACTAGGGTGGGGTCTTTGTATTTGCCTGGGGGATTTGATCTTTAGGGGCATTTTCAGGGTTTTCTCCCCAAACATGAGGGTTATGAACTTACCTCTGCTTTTTTCTTAACTAAAGTTAAATTCTCACTGTACCCCCAACTATCAGACCTGGGCTTTATGTAGAACATGAAATGGCATGTGACTGACTCAGCTGGGGGGCTGGCATAGGGGAGCGCTGGGCTGGGCACTGGGGATGGGGGCTCTGTGTCATTGTGATGTTGAATTGGGGTCATGTCGTTCAGTCTCTCTCTCTCTCTCCCTCTCTCTCTCTCTCTGCCCATGAGGAAACGTGGCCCTGTCTCTGATCACTCTGTCTCGCCGCTTCCAGCTGTGTCTCTGCGAAGGGATCAAAGGTAGAAGGCGATTACTCCCCTCCTGTTTCCTCTCTGCGTCTGGTCTCTCTGACTCAAACGAGGGCCAGTAGTCACCCTAGAGTCCCAGCAGCGCTCAGCTCTCCTCTTGCAGGGGATTTCAGTCTGTGTGCGCTGGAGGAGTTTTGTAAAAGTTCAGGGCAGGATGAGCTCCCTGGCTGGGTGGGATCTGGAGGTTATGAAGAGACACTTAGAGGAAGGGGTTTCCCAAAGCAGCGTGTTCCCATCCCATTCACTGGCAGCACAGTGAGCATGTTTGAAAATTCTCCCCAAGGCCCCTGTTTTACACTCGGGGAGTTGGGGCTGTTTGGTGGCACCAACCGACCCAGCCACTTCCCTAGAACAGGGTCAGTTATTCTGGGGCGGCGCTAGGGGTGGTCAAGTCTGGCTGGGAATCTATAGGGTTGCCAGGTGTCCGGTATTGACCTGGACAGTCCAATATTTTCGCCTTCTGTCTGGTAAAAAATTCAGAAAATACCAAACACCTAAAATATCTGGTACTTTCTGATTGTTTTCCCCGTCAGGCGGCAAAAATCTCTGGTGTTTGCCAGGTTCCACAGAGGAGCTGTCCAGCCTGACGCAGGGAGGCAAGATGGTGGGCAGCCATTGGCAGTCTGTTAGGGCCAAAAAGACTCAAAGCATTTCCTAAAGCGGCAACATGGCTTTTTTTTATTATTATTTTGTTTTGGTTTTTTTTGCTCTATAACTTCGGTTTCCCCTCTTTTCTCTCAACTGAATTTTTTCCCTTTTTTTGGGGGGGGGGGGAGTATTTTTTGTTAAACCATCTGGCATCCCTCGGAATCAGGGGTCTCCTGTCCCTCCAGCATTAGCTCCGTCTCTCAGAGCTGGAAATGGGTGACAAGGGAGGGGTCACTTGAGGATTCCCTGCTCGGTTCACTCGCTCTGCGGCATCTGGCATTGGCCACTGTCGGCCGACAGGACACTGGGCTGGATGGGCCTTTGGTCTGACTCAGTCTGGCCGTTCTCGTGAGCTCCCATTCAGGGAGGCCAGCCTGGGCCCCTCCCCTTCTGCCCCATCTGCCCTGAATTCAGGCCCACTGGCTGGCCCAGGCTGCCAGCCAACCCACCCCAGACAACCAGGGCTGCTACCCAGCCGGCTCTCCCAACCCCAACCAGCTTCAGAGGAAAGGCTGAGCACGGATGGGCAGAGTAGCAGCATGGGTGAGGCCAGTGGGGAAGAGTAGGATGTGAGTGGGGCCACGTCTCGCTGTTTGGGGAGGCCTAGCAACTCATGTCCAGCTGGCCTAATGCCAGGCAAGGCGCAGACACACCTGAACCTGCTCCAGAACAGCACTCTCAGCAGGCATGAATTCGGTGCAGGTCTGCGCAAGGCAGTGTCACTGCCCCCATCCCCCAACCCTGCTGTGAAGAGCCAGGCAGCAGGGACACCATGGGCATTCAGAGCCCGCTGTACATGCGAATTACAAAGGGGGCAGAGGGGAATTTCCAAGTGCTCCCGGCTCACAGTCTGCCCCTCCCACCCACGCACACAAACCCTGCACGGACCCTGCAGAGAGTCTCTGCGAGTCCCTGCCTAGAGATCTGAAGAAGCACCTCCTGCCACACCCAGCCCCTACCTGAAGGGCTCTGACTCTGGCTGCCTCTCCCAAAACATTCCTTCCTTCCCTGCTCCTCCCATACAACCAGGCTCTGCCCCCAAATAGCCCCACCCTCCCCTTCTGGGACAGGGGAGCGGGTTGTCAGATTGGGCAGAAAGGGGGCTCTGAAGCTTCATTTCCACATCATGGATTGACATTAATGTTGAACCTTAAGGATAAACATTCCACCTCAGCATTGTGAGCAGGCCTGGGACAAATGTCCAGTTTTATTTGAGGTGAAAATTTTCCAATACAAAAGTCCAAATTTTACAGATAAAGTGATGGGGGTGGGGGAGAGGAGTTTGAAAAAAAAACCAAGTTGTCCATTCACAAGAAACCAGTTAGGCCAGAATTTGACGTTAGCAAAAATATTGTTCATGAAAAAAAAATCTTGTTGAAACTTTTCATCTGGTTTAAACTTAGTGAAAGCTGCAGAGTTCTCTTCACCTTCTGTCTTGAGAGCTCAGGGATTTCTGGGTCTCTCCAGTGGTAGCTCCCTGCTGATCTAGTGGTGGGTTGGGCAGTTGGGTTCTTGGCCATTTTGCAGAAGCAGAGCACAAAGATCAAGTCTCACCTTTAAGGTCTCCCCTCTGTGAAAGGTGAAGCTTTTTTATCCAGATTATCCCTGGTTATTCAGAATTAGGGCTCCCTGCCTGTCCACTCAGTGTGAGCTGAAAGGAGATGGAAGGTCCTAGAATGAGAACCAGCCATGGGAGGAAACCTTCTCACAGCTGGAGCTCTGCAAACAGAGTTGGTGCCACTCAAGTGACACTCAGAGAACACGCAGGATCACTGACACCCCCCGTCCTTACTTCTTCCCACAGGGAACAAGTCCAGTGTGACACCAGCAACACTCCTGAAGATCAGGTTCAATGTAAGAGCTTATGTAGGGCACTGGGGTTTCTGGGGTCACCTGCCCATGGGAAAAATGTGGGGCCAGGAGTCCAAGTGCCTCATGCTCTTGGTCACCTCTTTGAGCCAGGCTCTCCGGCTCTCCCATGATGCATCACTGTCTCCCCTCTTTGTGATGAGAAGGAGTGTATCATGGTCATCCCCAGATGCAGTGCATCATGGGAGATGAAGTGAAGCTAGATTTTGCCATGGATTAGCATTTTCTAGTGCTTCATTTGCATTGCCTCTTCAGGCAAACCCGTAGTGGAGACATAGCCCAAGTGACAGCAATTAACTGTCCTTCTCTCCCCAGATGCCTCCGTGAATTTGTCAGGAACCACCAGGGTGAGTCGCACTTTTACTAAGGACAAAGTGATGCGAGAGCGGAGAGCGACTGGTTTGCCTGTTCCCGCTTGGCAGGGACCCGCGGGCTGGGGATGTGGATTTCCTGCCGGTCTACAGTTGCATTTTACTGCCAATGACCAGAGATGGGGCACTAGATGAGTCAGGCTCTGACTTACAACAGAGAATTTGTTGCCAGGTGTCTGACCGGTGGGGTTTGCCCTCATGCTCAGCATCTAACTCATCAGTGTATTTGTGGTCAGGAAGGAATGTTTCCCTGGATCAGATTAGCAGGGACCAACGGGTGTATCTGTCTTCCTCTGCATAACGGGGCCCCGGGTCGCTGGCAAGTTTGAACTAGTGTAACTTTGTGGTATCTCTGTATTGTGACATCACTAGTAACTCAGCCAGACGTTAGAGGGGAGGTGTCAGTAGAGACTCAGATACTTTAAGGCCAGAAGGGACCATCACGATCATGTGGTCTGACCTGTACATCGGAGGCCACAGAACCTCCCCCAGCCAGACCTCTAATGTCGGGCTGAGTTCTAGTGACATCATGTTACAGAGACTCTAACTCAGAACTGCCTTATGGGCAGGCTGGCATGGAGAGGGGAATGGCTCCTCCAATTGTAATTGGAGGCATAAAAGGTCCAGACAAAGGCTGGGGAGGAGGAATCTGAGTTGCTTGCCTCTGAAGAGTTGATGTAGGAAGTGGGTTGCTGGTGTTTCCCAGCCTAGATGCCCATAGAACCGCTCCTGGTGTACGCGCAGAAGGCCTGTCAGAGGGGCATCTTCTGGCTTCATTTCTCTGAGCAGAACAGTCACATTTTGGTGTTTTACAGAAGCAGCCACGGCCCCAGGGAGAAGAGACTCCGACTTACGCAACCATCGCGCTGCAGAAGGACAGACGTTGTTGATACTGCAGTCGCTGAAACGCAGGGCTGGTCAGAGCACAGCCACATCACAGAACCTCCCCAAATCAGAGGCAACAGTAGGGGCCGTGCAGCCAGGAAGTGGGGGATCTTCTCTAGGGCCACAGCAGGACAATGCCCAGCGCCCAAAGTGCTGAAGGACACTGGAATAGGCTGAAGGCAAATGCTGCCTGTTTGCCTTTTGTTAAAAAAAAAAAGTTTCTTCGGAATAAAATTGGGAAAATCCCCCACTCTGTGTTCCTCCCCTTGAGTCTTTATATCAGTAGCTCAGCTCCCAAGGCCCCTCAGCTCTGTTTAGAGATTCCACTGCCAACCCAAAGGGTAAAAAATCATGAGGAAGCCTCCCAAAAAATCCTCAAATTGCCTTAGGAACTCATGTTTCCTTTGAGATAACTCGGGGGTTTTGACCTTTTGGGGGCAGGTTTCCCAGCTGTTCTTCCCACCCAGGGGAGCCAGAAATGAACTCACTTCAACCACACCTATGTTGTGAGCTTCCCAATGAGTGAGATAGGCCCTGCTGCTGGTACAGTCAGCACCCGAGTGAGGCTCTGCATCGTGCTGCAGACACTGCTGGATTTGGGGATCTGTTTCTCTCTTGTACCTTTGGCTGGTGTTGCTACTGCAAGCTCCTTGGACCTTTCTGAGCATGTTTGCCCGTCCTGCGAAGCACTTTTCTGCAGGGCTTTGAGTGCCCTGGCACATTTCCAGGGCAATTCTGGACCATTTCCAACATTCAAGTAATTAGGAAAGTGAATTCTGGGAAAACAAAGTCATCTTTGTGATCAGAGTCTTCTGCTTCAGGTTCATGCAGACAGTAACACAGCGCCCTCCTCCCACCCAGCCGGCTTGTCCTGACCTTTCCCATGCCCAGCACTCAACAATCACGAGTCAGGCCATCACAGTGCACCCAGAGTGGAGAGAGCACCCTGTGCTTGGGACACCCTCGCTTGGGTCCTAACTGATCACAACAAGGTTGGGGGTTGAGCCCCCCAGGAATCCTGGGTCCAGCTTTAACTGGGTTATGAGGACTCTGCCATGCAGGAGAGCGGCAGGGAGCCCACAGATCTGTCAGGCCTCTGGGTAAAGGCAGTGGGAGCGAGGACTCAGATCCTTTCTCTAGCCAGTCCGACCAGGGCAGCGCATGGGCCAGGGAAGTGACCCACAATCATGGGACCTTTCCTCTGCTTTCATACACAGTCCTTGGGCCTCTTCCTTCATCTCTCTGTGACTCAACCCCCATCTGTGAAATGGGGACAATAATTCTGCCTTGTATCAGAGGAGAGGAGGGGGAAGAGCAGGGGAAGCGTTTGACGGAAGGGGTGGAGTAGGGGCGAGGTGGGAATGGGAAGAGGCAGGGCTCTCCCCAGAGCTAGGGTACAGTTTAGGGTATGTAAAATCAGGTTTACAGGGGCTTTGAAAAGAGGGTTTTTTGCGACATTTGACCCCATGTAGACAGGACCAAACAGCAGAAAAGCCTCTTCCAGGGGGAAAAAAAAATGGAAGAAGGTATGCAAATGTGAGTGCTATTTGCATACCTCATCGGAAAAATAAAACACAGGGTAGCCATACCCCTAGGGGTGATGTGGGAGGAGTCACATGGGTCACATGGGGTGGTCATGTTACCAGTACCTCCCTTGTGTCCCACCCCAGCAATTAACACTGATCCCAGGATCACAGTAGTACAGGGAGGGGGAACCTGACCTGGCCCCCAAGGGAGAGGCACAGGGGCTGGCCAGCAGGAGGCGGAGGAGCTAACAGGGGGGCTGCCACCCACGTCAAGAGTCAGGGCCCCTGGCACTCCCTGGGAAGGGAAGCGGAG